AGTGGTATCCTACTGAGAAGTAGTTCAGGCTTCGGTGAATAACCTTCTGCTGCTGGAAGCAGCCTTAATTAAGTCCAGAGGGTCTCAGACATAAAGAAAAACCAGGCAAGTTAGAGGAGGACTTTCAGGGAGAAAAAAGGTTTTGGTAGAAGAGGGAGGATGAGGTAGAAATGACCCAAACTCACCATATACATGCATGAAATTATCAAAAATTTTTATAAAGGAACACAAGGTGAGATAATGAAAGTGTGTTAGTTTAGGTCTCCCTCTTCTTATAAAGCCACTGATGGTTTCATAACCATAGGAGCTCTACCCTGAAGAATTTGTCTACCTTTAAATACCTCCCAATGACCCTAATTCCAAATATATCACAATATGCATTTGCTATTGAATTTCTCCAACACATGAACTCTGGAGAGCATGTCTATCAGCCCTCACCCCATATGACCATCCTGCTCTTGGTTGTATACATTTCTAGTTTTTCTTGCTGCAGAGTTGAACCCAATTTCTCCCCTCTGCTGCAAAAGCCTCCTAGAATACTCTTCTGAATCATCTGCCTTTCCACTCTTTGATATGTCAGAACAAGGATTTCTTAACAGAAGTTGTCCCCAAGGACACTGGGGTAGGTACAACCTAGTAGCTGAGAACACAGACTTTGAACCTGAACATGGATCCTGTAACCACTGCTTTCCCATCAGGTGAACTGTGCAGGTTCTCCATCACTTCCTGTAGGGGCCTTCCTGAAGTGGCTGCAATATTTACACCAGCCATGTGTCAAATTCTTTGAGTTGGGAAAATGGATTTTGTATTGTGGGTCATGTGGACGCCTACTGGTTGACTGATGGATTGGTTCAAACTCTGAGCATTGATCATTTAAACATTTACTTTTTATGTGTATGAGTGTTTACTTGTATTGATGTAAGTACACCCATGTCATACAATGCCCATGGAAGCCAGAGGAGAGTGTTGCATCCCCTGGAACTGGAGTTATGGGTGGTTGTTAGTCGCCATGTGGGTACAAGGAACTGAACCCTGGTCCTCTGCAAGATCACCAGTTCTCTTAACTGCTAGCTGGTCTCTCTAGCCCCTGAGTACTGATCTTTAGTCAGTCTAGAGAAGCCTCTAGAAGGTCATTAATCAAGATCTGCTAATATGACTCATTTGGAGTTAATAAACTTGGATACCACATGCAGGTCCAAAGAGAACAAGTCTTCCTTGTACATTGTGAGGATTCTCAGGGATACTTCTCAGGTTAGGATGTCAGATGACTGCTGAAGTTTCTAGGAGCCTGTCCATCATTCTCCAGGTGTAGTAAGTGACTTCCAGACTCAGTGCTCACAGTGTGATGGCCCAAGGGTACATGACATTGAAATCAAAGAAGAGGGGCTAGGTCAAGGAGATAGTAACTTCAGAACAGGGTTATGCAATGCCAACACAGACAGCTGAAGTGGCCAGGCATACCATAAACTGAGAGGCAGAGGCTGTTCCGGCTGATATGGGTGGTTCTGAGGTGCTATTATAGCGGAGTTAGGGGAGGTCTGGAATGCTATTTCAGAGGACAGCCCTCTCATTGGTTTGCAACCAGTTGAGCTCATTCTCCTAGAGGTGTGTCCTGGCTCTGGAGATGCCCACAGGCACCTGTGTTGCCAAGGGAATCCCCAGGGGTTTACTTATAAGTAGAAATTTGAATAGGAATGACTAAAGGATTCATTATAATTCATTACTCTTCCAGTGCACGAGACTCCCAGGCCTCTACCTTGGAGTCAGAGGAAAGTCCTGAAGCCTGGCTAGGAAAGGAGCCTTCCTGCCAGTCTACTAGCTGAATTCCTTCTGGACCTCCCTCATCAGTCAGTGCCAGAATTCTGTAGGTCCCTTCTGGACTTGGATACCTTACTCTGCTCTGACTTCACACCCTTTACTTCAGACCTGTCCTCCCTGCAGCCTTGTAGTATAGACTGAATCCTTCAGCAGGAGCCTCTTCAAGTGAGGTTTGAACACAGGCTTCTGGTCACTGCTGCCTTTTCTCTGCATTCTTTTTGAAGTAATACCTTTGTGATCTGTGTCTCAATTCTGGACCTTTTCTAGAGCCAACTCCTTAAAACAAACAAAAACTACACACTGACTCATAGGAGACTGTCATCAGGAATCAGCCCTACACACTCAATCAGGGACCAGGCAGGGAGGAATCTATTCTTTTCTATCACACTGAGATTGATCTCACTCACAATGTGACCTGATGGAATTCTGCTGTACTTTTTGTTTTAATGGTCATTTTTCATACTTGTAGGGAAATAGCTCCATTAGGATTAAATTTGGATTGAGTACAGTAGTCCTTCCTCATCCATGGGGACTACATTTCAAGACTGCAGTGGAAGTTTGACATGATGGAGAAGACTGAACCCTATATATACTACTTTTGAAAGTATCCATGCATGCCTTTGATAAAGCTTAATTTGTAAAGTAGGCACGATTGAGATTCACAATACCCTGCAGATCACAGCAACCCTAGCATATATTTTTAAAGAACTTTTACCTTAGCACTTTAAAGGGAGCACTTTTATGGTTTATTTTTGGCATGCTTGGATTGTCAAAATCACTGGTATTATTAGGTTTAATAATGGTCACTTGAATACAAGCACTACAATGACCTTGACAGTGCAGTTGATACCTGAGATACATATTAAGTGACTAACGGGCAGGTGGATACTGGAGAAAGGTTGTGGTTATGGGGTTGGACAGGGCAGAAGAAAGTGGATGGCACAGGATGACTGAAGACCAAAATTGATATATTATTTATTCCTAGAATTTTCCATTGGATTTTCTTTTTTAGACATGGTTTGCCTTGGGTAACTGAAACCATACAAATCAAAACCATGGATAAAAGGAGACTTCTCTAAAGGTATTCCAAGAGAACAAGTGGTCTTAAAGACATTTTATTCTGCTTCAGTTGAAATTTCAGAAGTAGAATGTTGCCCATGGCTGTTGACTGCTCTCAGCATCTTCCAGCCCCAGGATGCTGCTTCCCCAAGGAGCTCAGCCATGCCTTCCCTCCGTTGCACCAGCCATGTCTTGCCCAAAGTGGCTTCTCAGGTTGCAGTTATCCAGTATGGCTTCTCTGTACCAGGAGACAACATGGAAGGTGAACAGTGGACAGTGAGCTTTGAAGTGGTGATAATCATTTTAAGGCATATGGTTATTATTAAAGTGTAAAGGAAAAGAAAGTGCATCACTACATTTAAATACACACATTTGAAAAGAGTGTGAATGTGGGAAAAATCTAAGAAATGGAAGTGTCTGGCACATGACCATTTGGTACATGTGAGGGCTCTGCGGGATCATCAGCTGGAAGCCAGGAAAGGGTACTCAGCAAAAGACAGTCAGCCTGGAGGCCACTGGCTGTCGCCAGTTCATACCTAACTTTTCCAGGTTATAGTAACATCAGAAAACCTTGGAGATAGATTTCTTAGGCCTTAGGCCTCTTTAAGTTCTGGATTTCCACTAGATTTTCACATCAGCAAAAGTGAGGGAACCCATAGTACCTCGTCCCCAGCAGTACAGAAGGCAAGATTCAGGTAAAAGAGTGACATGTAGGACCTTGGTGGGAACCGTCGTCGATCAGGTAGCTACACCATGAGTTTCTGTGTCATCCTTATTTTCCCTCCTTGTCCTTGTGAATTTTACAAATTGCCACGAATATACCTAAAGGGAAACCAAGTTGGAGCAAGCAATTTGAAAATGCATGAAGGGGTAAGCACTCCCTGGTGGTATGGCTCTTCCATGGTAGTAGCTGGTGTCTGCTGCAGCCTAGTCATTGTTAGACTTGTTCTTAGAATTGAGAGACAAATTTCATGGATATAGTTAGTTCTGTAGCAAACAGAAGCTAAGTTCCATTTAGATATTCAAGAAACAGTAAAATGGGAGCTTGGAGAAGAAAAGGTAAAATGAAGGTGCTGAATGGGTCAGAAGTAGAATTAGCCTCTTGCATTGCTAAAGTTCAAGACAAGCCCTGAAGTATTAGCATGGATATATTCAGCATTTCAGCTTCTCAATTCTTAAAAAGCTGCACTTTCTAGTAATATAATAAGCTGTGTTGACTCTGTGAGGATGCCGCCGCTTTGATTTGTGGAAGTCTGCATGTGAATTTGCTTTCAAGTTATCCACCAAGTATACACATCTACTGAACTTTGGACTTTATCTAACACACCAGATTTTGTGTGAAGTACTATATCATTAAAATATTTTTTTCCCAATTATGACATGCATGCACCACAAAATGGTCAGCACTTTCCAAAAGAAAGCAGATAACTATAAGTTATTTTCAGTTTCCTAGCATTCTGGGAAACCATTCTAGCAAAGATACCATGCAGAATCCCACATGCCAGGCATCTTGTGAGGACTGGCTATTACGTGACAGTGGTTCATGTGTGTTTTTTTTTTTTTAAAAAAAGTGTATTATTTCTCCATCATTAGATCTTGCTTTGTGCTTTCCCTAGTGTTCTCAGTTAAAACAAACAAACAAACAACAACAAAAAATAACGGGTTCAGGTTTTAACTCAGAGAACCCACGGAATATTACTAAAAGACTCTCCCGGAATTTTTGAAGCAAGGCACTTTGAAGGGAGCAGCAGTTGAGAGCTGAGGCAAGAAGCAGAGGTATAAAGCCTCCCAGAGCCAGTGCCTAGCCCTGGGCCCCTGTCCTGCCGGTCCTAACCGCGGGGGACACTGTAGGGAGGGGAGGAGCCCTTTGCTCACAGGGACGCACCAACTTGACTCATACATATTCATGTGCTTGCTTACTGAGAGTTGAGAAACCTAGATGATCCAAAGAGAGCTTTTCTTATAAAGCAGTATCCCTCACACCCTGATTGCTCCATGGACTTTGTTTTTTTCTCCTTTTGAGTGAGAGATGTTTTTGCTGAGTGGCTGGACATTATGCAAACAAACCCGCCCACTCCCTTGCAGGGAGATCTGATAGCCAGGGTGAGGTTTCCGCCTTCCCCGTGGTCCCTCCACCTTTTCGTAGGTGCCTGGATCTTGCTAGGAAAAAAAAGGAAAGCGAGCAGGAAGGCAGGGTAGGTAAAGTCATCCCTTGAGGTGGTGACACCTCCTTACACGACTTCAGGGAAAATGCTGGGCTGCTGGGCAGTCCTCCCAGACAGCTGCCTATCACGGTGCTGAGAGTAAGAGGTGACCTCTGTATTTTTAGCAGGGGGCTGTCATAATAGCCCAGCCCTCCCTTCATTCAAGGCAGGAGGCAGGTGCTTTAGAAGTTTGTAAACACCAACTGTCTGAGTAGGGGAGGTGTGCTTTTCTCCAAAAAGGAAAGAATTTTTCTATTGGGGTTCCCCCCTCCGGATAGTCTGTGTTACTGTGGAAAAGACGCTGTCTTTGGCTTTCTTAGTTGGGGTGAGCAGGTGTGACAGCCCACTGCAGTTATTATTCTTAAAGGGCAGAAATGCCTGAAGGTGACGACTTCAGACCAGGCAAAAGGTAATTATGATTTATTCTTTTTCTGGGGTCTGTTTAATGTGTTGTTTATCTTCTTAAAAATATTCTGAGTAATTTAAAAATGGTTAAGTGACAGTTATAATAAAAATTAAGAGTTCTATTCCATAATTCCAGAAAACAATCTCCTTTGGCATATGCTGGCTGAAGAGAGCAGGAGAAGCCGTTCCTGCTTAGAGAAGCACCTGCAAAGCAGTGGGCTTTTCCTTCAAAAGGGAAGTTAGGCTTTGAAAATTTAAGAATCACTCATTTTCCCATATACAATGTGAATTCTACCTGAAGTTTTTGGTATTTCTTTTTTAATGTGAGATGATGATGGTTGAAAACTAAGCTCTTGAAGTTTTTTTTTCTCTCCAAGTTTGTATTTTAAAGATTCACTAAGCAGTTCTGAGAGTTTATGTGCAACTTGCCAATTCTGATTTTTAAAAAAACTTTTTCACTATAGTTTTTGAAAATGCAATCAGCCTTCCCTCAATGCATTGTGGTAGTGTTGTTTTTAATTATCTCTAAGAAAGGGATACCAGGATGGGAAAAGATGCAGGTAATTAATTCATGCTAACTTGAGCACCATGCAGAAAGTCTTCTTGGAGTCCCATGGTTATCAACAAACATGATAGGAATCATTAGAATTCATTGGAATTCTAATTGGGATGCTTGAAATTTGAATAAGAAGAAGTATAAAAATGTTACTAAAGAAAGGTATTCTTGATAATCTTATCACCAAAGAAATGTAACTGTTTAGGAACCAGCCATGGCCATATGGGGTGGTTTGTGTGGGGTGGTGTAGCCAGCTTTCGTAGTTTCCTTAAAAGCTGTATTTCCCTGTAGTCCTCAGTAGTTTTTATTTTCTCCCAAATTCCACTAAACGGAAAGAAACATTAAGTTGACATTGATTTGAGTAACTTTCTATATAAAATGAAACTAAATCAAGTACTTGATGATGACCTTAAAAGTGCTTGGAGCCATTTATGGATTAACTAACTAGCTAAGAAAACATTTTCAGAGAAATTTCAGTGTCAACATTGGTTGATAGGTTGATCCATGGGTGTTGTTCTTGCCCTCTCCCAGACACCATAACATTCCTGAAAGTAAGACTTTCTCTTTTCTGTTGAACCTGTGCATTCCCACAGCTCTTGGAGTAGAATTTTACACAGACAGTGCTTGTCAAGTGAAATGCATTGATAAACCATTTTACACCTGAATTGTGTATCAGGGGTCCTGATCATTTTATAATCCAAGAGAGAGCGAGAGAGAGAACTGGCAGAAATGGATTGAGATCTGCTTTAATGAAGAGCAACATTATCAAAATTAAATAGTAACTAATTGTTGATTAGAAATATCTTGAACATTATGTGATGTGAACTGAACAAACAAGCTTTTTATCTGAACGTTTCACTAGTTTAAAAGAATAAACAGATTGAAAGGAGAATGTGCACACATACACACATAAATATGCACATGGTAATAATTTTTCCAAGGACTATAATATATTGGCTTGCAAGTAAGAAACTCCCTTCACACCTCTGTGGGAACATATTCCTGCCTCCCATTTTTATTCTGACGAGGTAACTTTCAGGTTCTAACAGTTAGTGGATTTTATTCTTTGTTTTTGCCTCATTTATTTATTTTTCCTCTATTTATGTAGAAAGGGGGAAGGATTGGAGCTAGGCTAGAAATAAAATGTTTATAATTGAGAGAGAATTTTCCTGTTGCTAAATTTGAGATTACATGCCTTTGGTCAAATCCTCTGGTGCCATGTCTAAAAGAGAAATAACTATTATAAGTCATAAATCTGCTGACAGAAAGTGTTCTTTGAGCTTGATTGCAGCATCTCCTAATTAAGTTTCATGTTAGACTGATTGTGGACCTTGAGTCTCATTTTGGAATTTGATGTCCTGGATTGCTCTGACTGCTGGCAACTAAAGAGGAGTTGGATTCTGAAAAAAACCCAAAGCCCTGAAACAGTGGAACCTACATGACAGAGAATCTTATTGTGTGCTGGGGTGCAGGCTTCAGGCATCGTAGGTGCCCTCTGCCTGGTCACTCACAGGGCAGTGGCTCTAAGGGGCCATTTTACATTCACCAGATAGAAGGTAGTGAAGGTGGTAGCCTGGCTCTCGGGAACAGGTAGGGAGGAACCCTCCTCATTTTTCACTATCAGTAAGCACTCTTTTAAAAATATATTTTTACTTATTTTTATTTTGTGTGTATGAGTGTGTTACCTGCATGTATGTACGTGCACCTGGATCCTGCAGTACTGGTAGAGGTCAGAAGAGGGCATTAGATTCCCTTGGACCTGGAGTTACAGTTGGTTGTTAGCTGCCATGTGGGTGCTAGGAATTGAACCTGGGTCCTCTCTGCAAAAGCAGCCAGTGCTCTTAACCACTGAGCCATCTCTCTTGCCCTCTTAATAAGAACATTCAAAGAATCTCTGCCATTTTCAAGGTCAAGAACTGAGGGCAGAGGGCAAGAAAGCCATTGTGAAGCAGGCCCAAGAAGGCAGGCATTCCAACAGAAGACATTAGATGCCAAAGAAGAAGGGGCGGGGGGTGGGGGGCAGGGAAGCAGACTAGAACAAGAAACATGGGAACGCTTATACTGTAGCCTGAGGCCTGGCTCTACCTTGGTTCCTTATCTGACCTTTGATCTCTGCTTTGGAGCAGATGCCCAGCAGGTCTTGTGAGGTGAGGTACACTGATTACTTACCTAGGTGACAGGTGTGGGTGAGTGAGTCTTTCTGTATTCCAGTTGTCATGGAAGGAGATGCACCTGAGTCATGATGATGGCACTTGTCTAAACAAGAATTTCACTGATGCTTTTAGTGTTCCATGTCATGAATGCACTTTGACAGTGAACTGTGTTCACGTATTTATTGGTTCACTCAAGGAGTTTGTTGCGCTCTGAATCTTAACTAGTTGCTGTGCCAGGTGATGGGTTGGTGGATAAGGACCCTGATGTCCTGGAGCAGACAGCTTGAGCGAGGAGACAATATAGGGTAGAAAGTCACCAAATAAGAGCCCTTCAGATGGCAGGGGCCAAGAAAACAGTTTAAATAGTGATCTGAGAGAATGTCCTGTGCAAGTGCTAAAGGTGCCTGATATCTCGCACAAAGGAAGATGTTGCAATTGAGGACTCTGTGATGTATTCTTGTAACTCTGCTTGCCGTGTCGTAAGGACATGCAAGTTTGTTTGCAGAGGCTGCTGAGCCCCTAAAATTGTAACAATAATTTCTGTTCCCACATCTTTCTGTCGTTGATCTGCTTTGAGTGGCAAGGCTGTTAGGTCTCTTATCCAAAATGCTTATGTCTAGAAGTCTTGAGTTTGGCTCCCTCCTCCTCTAGATTGTCATATTTGCATATATATGATGAGGCATCTTGGAAATGAGACCTGTGCCTACGCATGAAATTCACTTATGTTTCATACATGCTCCTAAAATTAAATTTTGAGAGCATTTTTGGTATGCTTGGATTATGACTGACTAGTTCTATGAGGTCAGGGACAAGAATTTTCACTTGTAGTATCACGTCAGCCTTGAAAAAGTTTCAAAATTTGGAGTTTTTTTCAATTTGGGATTTTCAAATTAGGGTTGCCTGGCCTTTATTTGGGTATTCAAAAGGTTTTCATATTTAGGAAACCAAGGCTCTTTTAAAGACACAATAGACTCTTTAGTCTTTGAAAATGTTATTAGCAATTGCAATGAATTTTATGTCTTGAAGTTTCATTGTTTGAATAGTTCAGATTGGCAGGCTTATGGGTATAATTTTACATTGCTGATGAGGCTTGTCTGTTGATAGTGCCATTTCTTTAAACTATATAGTGAGGTTAGAAAAACCTCACACAGAAATCTGACCAAGTACTCAGCCCCAGCTTTGTGCATGCAGCCCTTCAATTGAGGTGGATTCCTAGGAACAAACATACTTTTGCTTTTATATACTTGGATGTCTTTATGCTGCCTTTGATTTGGAAACTGGCGCTGAGGTGGGGTCAATGAAACACAGTCGTTAACAAAAGGCACTGATCTGACTGGAGATAAATGGGAGAGTATGGAACAGCCCCTTATTTGGGCTTGGTAGGCATGGCATCCTGAGAGATGTTCAACAGTGGGGGTGGGGTGTCCCTGATCTTTAGCATTTTCTATGGTGTATATACTATACTCTCAACCAGCATCTGACTGATTTGAACTCGCCCTATCAAGATCACTAAAAGTAGCCACAGAATTATCATAGCAGCTCTTAAGAGCCCATGGTGGGCAACTGCACTGTGTAAATGAGTGTGGGCCAGGGCAAGGGCCAGCATTTAGTTCTAACAATGCTACATCACTGATGTGTCTCTAAGCCATCAACCACCATAGACATTTACCAAGTTTGTTTGAAGGAATTAATGATTCATCTTCCACTTTCCCACACAATCATGGAAAATGTTTATCACTTTTGAAATCCTACTTTGACCCAGCTGGGCTAATATTTGAACCTGATTAAAAACAAACAGAACAACACAATCTGTCCTTGCTGCAGGACACTTTGTTTTTCCAGAGATATTCTTTTTTTTATTATTTTTATTTTATGTGTATGAGTGTATTGCCTGCATGTGTGTGAGTGCACCCGTGTCGTGCAATGCCACGGAGATCAGAACAGGGCTTCGGATTCCCCTGGAACTAGAGCTAAGATCAGTTAGTTAGCCGCCATGTGGGTGCTGGGAATCAAACCCAAGTCCTCTGCAAGAGCAGTCAGTGCTCCTAACTGCTGAGCCATCTCTCCAGCCCCTGCTGGAGATCTTAACTACCACTTACCTAGCTGCCTCCTTCCTAAACTCTGCAGTACTCCAACACATTTCTGGCATTCAGGCCCCTGGTGAAGCTGATTTCTATTCCTTAAGCACAGTATGGTGAATTCTTTGCTGCTAGCCCTAAAATGGTGACGGTCTCTCATTTACAATACCAAAGGAGGGCCACAGCTACTTTGTGGTCGGCTATGGGCAGGTTTGTC